TAGATTATAAGGGTAAAATAGTCTTTTGAACATTTATCCTTATCCAGTCCGTCTAACCAAACATTGGATTTACTAAAAATACTCCAATCCAGACATCTAATCCCATGACTAAACAAACATAGGATACAAATCCAATCCAACCAAATATTCCCAGGACAATGTATCCCGGGACTAACAGTCCGATGGATTACAATCCCCCTTATCCAGTCTGTCCAAACAAACACACCCTAAGGACTTACTCTGCACAAGAAACAAAAGTGGGTGACTTAAACCAGCTCTCTTGGGTGATTAAGAGAAAATGAAAACTAGATTAATCAAATAAACAACAGAATGGATTGATTGGAAGAAACACAGCAGTTAGAAACAGGAGAATGGATTAATCAAATATATATATATACATATATTACCGCTCCCCGAGACGCTCCCAACCTAAGAAACTTTTATCGGCTCACAATTCCCCGCTCCCGTTCCCACTTCGTGCAACTAAGGTCATGACAATCTAAGGGCACTCAAGATAGGTTCTCCCCTAATCAGAAATGTGAATGAACTCCATTCCTACCAAGCTAGGTCTTCAACACTTAGAATATTACAAGAGAAACTCATAAAACCCTACAACACCACTCCTAATGACGGTTGCCTTTGAAATTACAGATTCTCCTTTTGCTACAGATGAAGATTTGGATCAACTATTGGTAAAGAAGCCATACTTCTTTCACCTTGGAGAACTTTATTTAGCAGCTCTTTCTAGAGCCTCCAACCAAGGAGACTTTTAGGACACCAGTTGTTGTTGGGGACTATTAAGACACAAGTTGTTAGGGATTTTTGTTGTACTTTGTTTGGCAATCCAGTTCGAAAAATACCTTTTTGATGTTATTGCTTTCGACATTATTTATTCAATTATCCTAAGCTCAGAACTACTTAAAATACAAAGAATAAAATCCTTTCCAACAAATTAGTACTTGTCGAAGAATTTGGTCTACATTATTAAATTAAATAATTTTGTCTACATAAAATAATCTTATCTACATTATTAAATTTTCAAGAATTTTTTCATAATAAGAGTTTAACTAATTGCAAGAAAATTTACTTCAAATCGCTTGTGCTAAGAAAATAAATGGTGTTAGTTTTGGTGACATCCTGGATCCAGTACTGCAATTACAAAAAATGAGATGCATGCAATTTGTATTAAGAGAGAGAGGTGCATTTACTGGTTCTAGTTACTTTTTCTTTTCTTTTCTTTTGCTTCACTCAATTTTACTCAATTTATTGTAATAAACTAAAAGAAACATAAGAAAATTGGACCCAGATAGGTATACCAGCCTTAGCTCCGAAAAATCAGCAATGAATGCATCCTCCCACTGTTTCAGCAGCAACAAGTGCTCCGGGCACTTTGCAATATCAGGTATCTTAGGCATATAAACAGTCTGTTCTTTGCTCAATTTGCTTGTTTCAAGCTTGGAAACCTTCACTTTGGGAATTTGTGCTGCTTCCCACCTAAGCAAAAGAAAGACTTCATAAGTCGCACCTAAATTAAAGGTTTCTGACCTTTACAAAATGACAGCTCTAGAACCTGCATTAATCTCCCATATGGCCGAAAAGTATACATATATACACATACATTGATATACATATGCAAATATTTACGTATATATATAACTCAAAGCTACTTTAACTTGTCACACGATAATTATAAAGGGCTGCTATTTACCCCTACCTTATTTCTTTGGAACCCCCCATTTCTTCACTTAATTGAGTGCCTCCCATTTTCTCTTTGAACCCCCACCTTAATCCCAATTATACCCCTCTTCTTTGAACCTCCCAAAACCCTAACCCTCAGCCACTAAAGGTCCGGTGGTGCACTCCGACGACTCTCCTGGGCTCATTCTGCCACCATTCGCCACTGCCCAATCCCCCAACCTTCCTTTGACCCTTGTCCACCACCCCGCCACCTATCAGCCCATTCTCACCCACCACCGCCATAGCCCAGCCCCATCTCGACCTGCTCTCTCTCTCTCTCTGTGACCTTCCTTTCGGCGATCTCTCTCCCTTTGTCCTTTCTCCACCACATCGCCACCCTCAACCCGTCCCCAACCACCACCGTCACCACCCATCGCCATCTCCACCCAACATCATCTCTCTCTCTCTCTCTCTCTCTCTCTCTCTCACGCGTGCGCGCGCGCATGCTGCAATCGCAACATCGGCTAGGGTAGAGACCGCGATTGTGACATTATCCCAAGAACACCGTTATCACCCATCGCGATTGAAGCCTTTGTTTTTGCTGATACAGCAAGTTCGAACCCAAAATCTGCGAAGAACACCAGTTGTGATTTGAAGAACCATCACGAGTACATCGCAAGTCAAAGTAGTCTCGAAATTGCAGAACCCATTGATTTGCAGTTTCTAGGAATCATTGCGATCGCAACCTAGCTCCTTTGATTCAAGTTCGCAACCCATTTGATTTCAGAAAAAATCCAGTTTCAAAAATCCAGATTCAACCTGGGTAGCTTTTCGACTTGCAATTTGAGTTTCTTCACTGTTCTTGGGTCAACTTCACAATTGAGGGAGGAGATGGATTGAGGTTGCACCGGAGGTGGAGAGTGGCTGTGGCCGGTGGAATTAGGATTAGGGTTAGGGTTTGGGTTTGGAGCATTAGGGTTAGAAGGTTAGGAATAAGGGTAGAAATGGAATTTTATGCTTGGACAAAATTGGAATTAAAAAAATGAAAGAGGGGGGGATTCTAAACAAAAAGGTAGGGGTATATAGCAGCCCTCTAATTATGTGCATAAAAATTTCTCCACCAAAACAGTTCATAAGATGATTACAATGGCAAATCAAAATCAATGAAGGAATAAAAACCTCAGCAAGAATGGCCAGGAAAATTTCATTTTTTCTCGCCAATAATACCTCCCCTGAAAAGAAATGAAAGTACAATTGTCTCTTCTTTTTTAACAACAAAGACCCTTTTTTTTATTATTATCAATAAAATACTTTAGGAAACATTGCGTAAGGCACAATTAAATTGTGGTGGGTTTTGGTTGCGGACAGCTTCTAGCGTTAGGGCTCTAAGAGAAAGAAGAAAGTTTCTAGAATTTGGAGATGAAAAGGTGTGAGATTTGGTTTAATTTTCAAAAGTGGCAGCTTGCTGGATTTTCAGAACACAGGCTATTAAGGTCCTAAACTGTAAGTACTTTATGGTTTTAATGGCTAAATTGAATGTCAATAGATAGGAGAATGGATCATTAGGGTTAGTTTGGGCATGATTGGATAGAGTTTTGAGGTTGAAAAGTGAACTTTTTGAGTCAGTATGCTGCTGATCATTCATATTTTTTTGTTGTTTTAGAAGTTCAGGGTACTTCAGAAATTTCAACATGTGCTAGAGTGGGCCAGCAATGGTTCCATGGACCACGGGCATCATTCTGGGTAAGGTTATGCTAAAGAGTCTTTATATGTGCTCCTTAATAGGTCTGGAATGTTCCAAGTATTCAAAGGGTAAAAGTTTCCTTGTTCGAAGTAGTTGCCACTAGCCATATTAGAAATTAGAGAATCACAGCAGCTTAAATGTACGTACTTAAGCTTCCTATTCAACATACTTGCAGTCTTGCAGAGTTAGAAATGTTGTATAATGTAAAATAATCCTTACAAGGGTGTAGCCTAAAGGACTGTAAATAGGGTGGTGGTGGACTTATTTGCCACACAGAGATTTGTTGAGTGGACTTATTTTCCGGCTTCGGGTACGGCCGGAGGAGTTCTCCTTTGTTGGGATAGTAGGGTGGTGGTGGTGGTGGTGGTGGTGGTGGTGGTTGAGGAGGTGGGGGCTTTTTCGGTGTCTTGTTTGTTTAGATGTGTGGAGGATGATTTTAGTTGGGTTTTTACAAGGGTGTATGGGCCGGTTCGAGGGGTGGAGAGGTGTTTGTTTTGGGAGGAGTTGGAGAGTGTAGCATTTCGTTGGGTTGCTCCATGGTGTGTGGGGGGTGATTTTAATGTGGTGCGGTGGCCGGCTGAGAGATCTGGTGGTGGTCGGATTTCGGGAGCTATGCAAGCGTTTTCCCTGAATTGTAATTGCCCCAAAAATATATTGTACTTATGCAAAGACTCATTATTTCTTTCTAAATGATGGTAAAAAATATTATGGTATTTACAGAAAGACTCATTATCAACAAATTCACGAAGTTCATTGGTTTGTAGTACATGTACAGTCAACGCAACTTCAAGAAGCCAAATAAGCTAAAGAGGTGTCTTTGGTGACTACATAAGCTTTGCCATAACTAACACTGTGCTCTACGTTTTTCTACAGTGTGTGAAACGTAGGAACAATTTTAGTAGATTGTCACTTCATACTGAATAGATAATCCTTGGTATAATTTTTTGCTTGCACATTTTCTTTTTATAGAATGTGAGACATGTAGGAGATAAATTTTGAGCTATATTTTGTCATACAAAGACAAATCCTAAAGACCACAAATATAAAATTTTCAGGAAGTATTCAGTTTTTGAGATTTAAATACAACAAAAAGCCAGCCTAAATCAACTAAAAGAAAGTTTAAAGGAAAAATGTTACAACTTTTTCAGATTATCAGATTTCAAGATTTAGAGCTCAACACCACATAAGCCTCAATTCACAAAAGCAAGCAAACAAGGAAACAAAGGCCTTGTTTGGTTTGTCTCTTGAGAGAATTTTTGAGAAAAAATTTCAAAAATTTGTTTGGCTGAAAATTTTTGAAAAAAAAAATTCAAATTCACTTCTCTCCTACTACACATCAATATCTATTCAACTACAAAAAAATAAATAAATTTAAAGCATCCCAAACTCCAAAACTATTTTCAAAACATACAACCAAACAAATTTTCAAATATTGTAAACTCTTTCCAGAAAATTATTTTTCAAAATTGTTTCAGAAATACAAACCAAACATGGCCAAAATCCTCAACAGTGCAGAATAATTAACTCCCGAATTCTGAATGTTAAAAGGAACAAAAAGATTTGTGGCATGGAGTGATACCTTACGCGCCTAAGATATTCCAACCCATCTTGTGGAGGTCCAGAATTAAAATTGGGTTTTCCTGTAACCAAAAAGGCAGGTCTTTGAATGCTACTGTAATCGTCATCACTGTCATCTTCCTCACTGCATTCTCCCTCTAAAATTGAGTAGTCTTCACCACAAGAAGGATCCAAGGGGATCATGTTCTCAGTTTCATTATTCATGACTTGAAAACAATCTTCACCTGAAAGGATCAAGACATTAGATACAGAAGTTAGATACAGAAGTTTTGTCAGCTTGAAAACCTGAAGTTATCACCCCACCAGAAATATTTTGTAAATAAATACTAAATACACCATCCAGGAAGTCCAAGCAATCAAAATTTATGAAGCGCATCTCCTTTCATTCAAGTAACAAGAATTTGAACATTGAATTTCATTAACAAGTTCCACTCTGTGTTTGTTTTCATGTACAATTGCACTTTACAAGTCACTTCTCCAGAAATAGGCATGTAAATTACTGAACTGCAAGATATGGACGTAGTGGGACTATATATAGCAAGAAAATGAATGTACAAGAACTGTAAACAGGTAACATATACAACTTGACCTATAATGTGCCTATATATACGAACAAGGGATATATTTGGGTATGTTGCACATAAAGACTTTTGCATTCCTTTATGTCATTCTTCAGTGCACAAAGATTTTCAAATGGTTCCCTCTTCCCATTGCAGCCACCAAATCTGTGCACAAACAAATTGACCCATCAAATTGACACAATAATAACCAAACACCCAAGAGAGAAAGTATTGAGAAAATCATAGAGACTCTCCAAAATCTGTAAGTAACTTCGTAGTACTTTCCAAAAAAAAATAAAAATGCTTCATGAGAAGCTCGGACGGATTGCTTCCCCCACCCCCAAACCCAAAAAAATAGTAAAGGAAAAGACCATAACCCAATCAAGAGAGCAGATACAAAAAAATAAATAAATAAATAATGAAAAGAGAACAGGAAAAGGAACCTGAAAAGAAAGGCAACCAAGTAATGAAAAATGGGACTTTTGTGAAGAAGAACACAATATTATTAGAATAAGTTGATTTTTTTAGAGGAAAATTGGAAAAAAGGAAAAGGAAAACAACAAAGTAAGAAAGTAAACAAACATAAAAAAAAAAGTGTTTTTATTTTTTACAAGTATTGAAAGATTACATGCATCATAGACGCATAACAATTTATGGAAACTTAACGAATGTAAAATCACTAGTAATTCAATCTACTTAAAGGAGGCAGTAGGCAGTCATAATATTAAAAATATATTTTGGTTGGCAGAGTTTTAAAAATAGTTTTATATTCTCGAAAGTTATAGAAAAAAAAATGAAAATTCATTTGGTTTGTTGTTTTCAAAAACCAAAGAAGCGCGGACATAGACACGAGACATAGCGATTTTCAAAAAATTAGAATAGACTAGGGAAAAAAATTTATCTTTCATATTTTTATTTACTATGTATATAAATATAAATTTATGATACATAAATATGAGAGGCGTCAATGTATATGTGGGTGTATTCTTGTTTATTTTTATTTTTTCCCTCTTTATTTTCAAATATTTTACTTTGACTCCAAATCAGCTTTCTTAAATTATATATAAATAAATAAATAAAACCTCCAATGGTATCCTCAGGCGTGTTCAAACATAGGGCGCGCATGTCTATGAAGTGTCACCTATGTGTCCTCAAAAAAATAATTTAAAAAATTGGCACGCTACATGGCGTGTCAAACACGCATACCCCCGCTGTGTCAGTGTCCAACTCATATTGAACACAAACATAGGACCCATCTTCGAGTTGGTGCTTCTTAGTCGGAACAAAATTTTCAAAAGATTAAAAAAAAAAAAAAAATTGAAAACTCCAAATCACATCATTATAAAAAAATAAAAATAAAAAATTAACGATATTTAGAAAATATGTTTTTGAGAACTACTTTCTAAAAACAATGCCAACTACGCCCTAATTTCATGGTTTTAGGTACGAACTAGGAAGCACGGACATTGCTATGAAGGAGGCATGCCGTATCAGGCACCCATGTCGGACATGACACCACGAACACTCCTAAAAGCGAGTCTAAAACTTCTTTAACGTGTTTTAATTAAAAAATTTAATTCATAATATCAAACACTTCTCGTACACATCGATGACACTTTCATAGTAACAATGCTTTGCATTCTTCATAATGCAACTTATGACACTATGGATGTGTTTGGTTTGTGTTTTGAAACATGTTTTTTGAAGAAAATTTCCAAAAACATGTTTGGTTACAATTTTCTCAAAAAAAATTCAAAATTACTTCTCTCTATTACACATCAATCAATCATTTTTTCTCTCTCCTCTCTCCTTTTCAATCACTTTTTCTCTCACATACATCTACTCAACTACAATAAAATATCAAATCATCCCAAACTTTCAAACTCCAAAACTATTTTCAAAATATACAACCAAACAAATCAAAAAAAATTCTAGACTCTCTCCCCAAAATTTTTTTTTAAAAATTTATCTCAAAACACAAACCAAACACACTCTATATGAACACCCCTAAAAATGTGTTTTGACACTTCTGTAACGTGTTTTAATTAAAAAATTTAATTCATACTATCAAACATATTGACGACACTTTCATAGCAACAATGCTTTGTGTTCTTCGGAATGCAACTTATAAACTCTAAATATGTTTTGAAACATGTATAATATGAATACATTATGTGTATTTCAATGTTCTACGATTATTTTGCATTTTTTATAATGCAATTGTCTTGATATTTAAATTAAGGAATACAAGGTTTTTTAATTTAAATTAGTGTTATGTTACTTTTTTTTTTTTCATTACCATTGAATAAACTATTTATATATTTGACAAATAATAAATTTATTAACATATAAATTTTTAATGTGTCCCAAGCATAGCGTGTCCTTTATTTTTTAAAAATTGTCATGTCAGTGTGTCGCTTGTCATGTCGCGTATCTATGAACTCAGGTATAGAGAGTACACGTCTCTATCTTTGGCTAGCAAATTAAGGAATACATGATTTTTTAATTTAAATTAGTGTTATGTTACTTTTTTTTTTTTTCATTACCATTGAATAAACTATTTATATATTTGACAAATAATAAATTTATTAACATACAAATTTTTAATGTGTCCCAAGCATAGCGTGTCCTTTATTTTTTAAAAATTGTCATGTCAGTGTGTCACTTGTCATGTCGCGTATGAGTATAGAGAGTACCCGTCTCTATCTTTGTCTAGCTGAATTTTTTTAACTAACAAAAATCCATAATAATTAAAATGCAAGAGGCATCAAATTTAAAAATGGGCATAGCCAACACAAAAACCCGCATTGGTACATGTCAATGGAGGTTTACTTGATCATGAACTTGGTCAATTAAATTAACCAATGGCATCTACTAGAAATTTGGTACTGCACTGTGAGAATCATTCTTCTGAAAGCATTTACATTTCATTCTTTTGGGGCAAAATGTAGTTTTAAACTCATCCAAAAAGCACAAGTAGTGCCAAATTTAATGACCAGGCTCAATTTTTTAAATGTTCCTCTACATATCTTTATAGCATAATTCGTAATTCAATGTGAAATTTCCAAATCATTCATAATGACCAATGCTGAACCCAGGATGAATTGCCACCTTGACCAGAGAAGCAGTAGTGTACTGGTAAACTTCTAGCCTAGATTTTAAAAGCATGTAAGAGAGAGAGAGAGAGAGAGAGAGATCAACAAAAACAAGTAAACTATTATACTGGTAATCTTCTTCATCCAATGTCCACAGGTGACGGTGAATAAGGAACCTTCTACAAAACCTAATATGGAGGTCAATTTAACAAAGCTCAAGCAACCCTTGAAAGCAAGGTTTGACGATAGTAGCCACTATAACGGTATCAGTGGCATGGTTTCGGGATGTAACAGACATAGCGTAACGAAATCGACTACTAGAGCCGAGATGTTCTTATTTTTTATTTAATTGCATAACTTCTCCAAATAATAACTATACGTTTTGTCTCAACTCTACGGTCACATAAATTTTGAACTTCTAAAAAATTTTATGAACCTTACCTTATGAATCTAATTTAATATGACTAATAACTTTTTAGTTATAGCTAAATCACTATCAATAAGTTACATTATTATCTTTACCCTCCAGTTGGCTTTATGCACATCTGAACCACACACACACACAAAAAAAGAAAAAAAGAAAGAAAAGGGAAAGAAATAAAAAAAAATCTAATGGAAATATTCAACCTAAAAAGCGATTGAGAGGTAAAGGGGGATCTATTGCTATAGTAGGTTTGCAAAAGTATAGAGGGCATCAAAATTTTGGGCCTGACCAATGTTGTTTATCTTTCGACTAGGGCCAAGTTGTAGCATGGGTTTTATTCCCTCTTCAACCATTATTTTTTTTTCCAGAACAAAAAATAAAAATTAAAGATAAAGCCCAATAGGTTAAATGGGACTTGATTGATCCAAAGTTTTGTTCCCAAAGTAACGAAATCCAAACATGTTTCATCGAGAAGAAAGCTCATCCAATCAACCCACTCCATGAAGACTAGGTCAATCACATAAAACCCTAATTTGGTTCTTTTCCAAGTCAAACGAGGGCACAATCTAAGTTTCGTGTGAGGCTGCTATCTAAGTCCCATTCTAACAACATCAAAGCATTGAGACAAATTACAAGCTTAGTAAGGTCAGATTCCCCTTAATTTTTCTTCTTCCACCTCCTTATCCTCCTTAATTTCTTATTTTTCTTCCTAATTCTCTATTGCTCCTCTCCTTCATCTTCCTATTCTTTTATTGTTCTTTATTGCTCTTCTCCTTAATCTTCCTATTCTTTCTCCTCCCCAACTCTTCCTCTAAAATATAGAAATTTATAACCTAATACTTAGCTGTAGCAAGGTGTAACAGCAGCATAGCGGGCCTTTTTACAGTTATTAATCCATTGTTGTGCATAGCAACATCTCTTGTAGCAACCATGAAATCCTTTAGTACCTACCACTAAACCAGAGTGTATCAGAATTGCCTAGTTGCAGCCGCTTTTTAAAACAGTACTTAAAAGTGATTAGAGGTTGTTTCAGTTAACAAAATGCTAACGGTCACATAACTTTCCAAGAAGGGAAAAGGAAAACACAAAGTTCACTAGAGCAAATTGTATGTTGGCTTCCTTTACTTCGAAATAACTCAATACACATAATATACATATATATATAGTAAATACCACCTTAGAAATCTGCTGTGAGAATCTAGATAATTACAGAAGCTCCAGCTGTTCATGTGTCCTAGAGTACAAGCTAGAAACTCGACCAACTGTGCATTGTGGTCAAGAAACAGTCATCCACCCACAATTTAGGAGAGGTCTATAATCCTGAATCCGATATGTCAAACACAAATGGGATGTGATACCGCTTAAAGAACCTTCTAGAGTGGTAAAGAAATTCTGAACAGCTCAAAGGTGAAACTCCAAGCACTTCCTCTTACCTAAAGAAAGTAAAACAGTCGCATTCTCAGCCCTACAACACGATTTATCTAAATCACCTCAACTTATAATAAGAAGTTGCCAATGTCTAATATCCTATATTTAACGTGTGTAGTGTATAAAGATCAATGTATAGTAAAACCTAATCAATTGAAAGCATAACATCTTATTGGTCAACAAATTAACTTCAATCCTGATGAACCAACAAGTGCCAAGAGTAAACACTATAAGACTAGAAAAATGATATGATACTGCAATTAAATGGTACATGCTATCAATATTTTATACCTCTTGAATATTATGAAAATTTTAGTACTTGAGGCATGAAACACAAACATATAAGTAAAAACTTTAAGTCAAGCACGAACGTTAGGGAAAAAGTATACAGACCAAGAACTGCAGGGGTCTTTTTCTTCTTTCCGAATTGTTTCCGCGGATCAAAGTTAATTTGGATGTGCTGCTGATGATTACAAGCAATCAGACCGTCATATTCCCCCGCCACAATGGGGGCAAGCCCACAGTATATCTCAATCCACTTTTTCTGCTGTGATTCTAGATTTACAAACCTCAGGGCCTCCACCTCCTCCCTTGAGTAGGCTCTTTTGGTTCCATCACCTTTCTTTTCCAAGCTATTTTGAGCTTTATCCATGTCAGTCAGAAACCCGCTTCACAGTTGTTCAATTCTTTCCCTTCTTCGCCCACCGAGTGAGAACCAGACTCGGCAACAGCACCATTTCCTTCAACACTCTCCATCTTCACAAAGATGTTATTCAGAAGCGAAAATGGGAGTGTTTCGCTCAGTATCCATTTTATACTCCCTCGCAGAAGAATCAATTTGATCTGGAGAAAGAGAGAAAGAGGTCGAGTGATGTTGTTCAACTGTTTGTCGAATTTCAGAGAGTTGTGAGATTTTTCGATTGAAACGTAGGCCAGTGTCGGGATCGAAATCGTCTGACAAGAGCCTCTCTCTCTCTCATAATAAACCCTGCTCAGGGTGTACATGGGCCGGGCTTCGCGGGTTCGGATCAGAGTTATATCGGTCTCGTTTGGGAAGTGGTTATTTTAGTAGGCTATTTAGTTTTTTTGGCTATTTTAGTGGCTATTTTAGTTTTTGTGTTTGGGAAAATGAGATGATTTTTTAGTTGGGTTATTGTATTGAAAAATGTGTTGAAATGATATTTAAATTTAAAATGACAGATTTGTCCCTAACTTTTTATTTTTTAAAATTGATATAAAGGGGCAAAATGGTAATTTTCCCATTGATGTGATATAAAAAAATATATAAAAAAAAAATATTAAAAAATAATGGAAAAAGGCAATTTTTTTTTTTTTTTTTTTTTTTTTTTTTAAACTTGTGAACAGTGCCACTTTTTGGCTTATTTACCAAATGAGGGCTATAATAGCCCGTTGGCAGCTTCCCAAACAGCCCCATTATGCCTTCACTGGGAAGTAAGGAGTGAGGATCCTCTCCTTGTAACTTCCGTGCTTGCGCCCGTCCTTGCAGGTCTTCGGGTCTACTTTTAGGCTCAATTTTGATAATCTGAACCGTTCATATTTTATGATTTATTCAGTATATCATACCTGTAAAAAATCAAGTTGATCGTATATCAGAAAGTATATGTTCGGAAAACTGTTTATTAAATTCTTTAAAAAATAGTGTTTAGTTCAATTTTTCAAACACATACTTTCTGATATCCGATCAACTTGATTTTTTACAGGTATGATATACTGAATAAATCATAAAATATAAACGGTTCGGATTATCAAAATTGGACCTAAAAGTAGACCCGAAAGCCTGCAAGGACGGACGCAAGCACAAGCTTGCAAGGAGAGGCTCTTGACTCGGGAAGTAAGTCCATGTTTTTATTTTTTTGATTTTTTAATTAGTTTAAATCCCCTTTGCGGATAAACTATTTTAATAATTTTTTATTTTATAACTAAAATACAAAGTAAAAAAATCAATATATTTAGAATATTTTTTTAATTTTTTATTTTAAAAAAATGCAAAAAATAGAGAAAAATATAATATTTGACTTTTTTTTGTATAAGTAGTTAGCTTTTTAATTTTTTTAATAATTTTTTAACTTTTAAACTAAAATATTAAGTTGTCAAATAAAGCCTTAGTTTGAGTTAAAAAGTCTCATTTGAGATAAGTTTTTTTATTTTTTTAATTTTTGTGAGAGAAAAAGTAAAATTATTATAGTTTAGATGTGACATTTTATCTTACTGATTTTTTAACATATTTTATCTTTTTGTAACTATTTTAACCTCAACCCATTATGCCAGGCATAGCATATGTTTTCGTTTGCAAAGAGTTAATATTTTGACTTTTTAGCTAATTTAGCCTAGTGTAGACATTCTATTTTGACTTGCCCTAAGAGTTGGGGGCTTTCTTTTGAACACCCGTTAATAAAAATTAGAATGTACTATTTTACGAATTTCTTAACAGAAAAATCAGATTAAACTTTTAATCCCAAACTTCACCCATTTTGGCCATCACTAATATTTTATTAATTTATAGTATTTTATAATTTTATATATTTTTATATAAGTTTATGTGTGTACATATTTTTAAGTGTGTTTTATATAAATTGATAAATATTTTATAAAAATTATAGAGGTGATGTGACTTAAATGAGATGATGTGACTTAAATAAGATAGTGACTTTTTGACTTTTTAAATTTTTTGGAAGATGTCAAACTTGGCCTTAGTTTGAGTTAAAAGGTCTTATTTTAGATAATTTTTTTGAATTTTTTCATCTTTCCGTGGAATGCCAAATGAAGCCTTAGTTTGAGTTAAAAAGTCTCATTTGAGATAATTTTTTTGAATTTTTTAATTTTTGTGAGAGAAAAAATAAAATGATTATAGTTTAAATGTGACATTTTATTTTATTGACTTTTTAACATATTTTATCTTTCTGTAACTATTTTAGCCTCAACCCATTATGTCAAGCATAGCCTGTGCTTTCATTTGCGGAAGCCTTGTTGAAGATAAGCAAGTGTGTGTGGCGCTAGTTAACACTCTTCACTAGCCCGCCAAGAATGCTCGAAAGGTTTGCAAAGACAAGCCAAAGAGTTAATATTTTGACTTTTTAGCTAATTTAGCCTAGTGTAGACACCCCATTTTGATCGGCCCTAAAACTTGAGCGCTTTCTTTTGAACACCCGCTGATGAAAATTGAAATGTACTATTTTATGAATTTTTTAACAGAAAAATCAGATTAAACCTTTAATCCCAAACTTCACATATTTTGGCCATCACTAATATTTTATTAATGTGTAATATTTTATAATTTTATATATTTTTATATAAGTTTATGTATGTACATATTTTTAGGTGTGTTTTATATAAATTGATAAATATTTTATAAAAAAAATATATAATAAATAAATATATATATATACATATATATAAATATAAAATAAAATAAAATAAAAAAAACCAATTTATATTCATTCGGTGGAGTGGGCTCAATGGGGCTATGATTATAAACCCAAAAAAACAAAAAGAAGAGTGGGCTCGTGGGTATGATTATAAAAAAAGAAAAGGGAAAAGGTGTGGGGGAGGGAGATCACAGACAGCATCATTTTGGAAATAAGGACAAAAATGTATATTTCTTCTTTCGGTGAATGCATGGAGGGGAGGAGCTGCACTCACACACAGATAATCTGTTAGTGTAAATATAATAGAGTTGTGGTCATTCATTGACCTGTAAAGTAAAAGTTAATGGTTATTATTTCTTTATTATTTATGCTTTCGATGTAGCATTATATGTACAAATTTTCTTTTTACAAGAGAGAGTGAGCTACTTCTCTTTGAACGGTTTGATTTAATTAAATGTTAAATATATTTTAATAATATTTAAGATAAAAATTTAAGTGAAAAATAATAAAATAAAATAAATTTTGATTTTATTTTTATCTTTCAAATAAATTATTAAAATAAATTTTAGATTCTATTTTTCTCTTTTAAATAAATTATCAAAATAAATTTTGATTCTATTTTTTTTTCAAATAAATTAAAATATAATTAACTAAATCATCAAAATAAATTTTGGTTTCTATTTTTCTCTTTCAAATAAATTAAAACATAATTAAATAAATCATCAAAATAAATTTTTGGATTTAAAACATAATTAAATTAATCATCAAAATAAATTTTGGATTCTTTTAAAACATAATTAAATAAATAATCAAAATAAATTTTGGATTCTATTTTTCTTTTTCAAATAAATTAAAATATAATTAAATAAATTATTAAAATAAATTTTAGATTCTATTTTTCTCTTTTAAATAAATTATCAAAATAAATTTTGATTCTATTTTTTTTTCAAATAAATTAAAATATAATTAACTAAATCATCAAAATAAATTTTGGTTTCTATTTTTCTCTTTCAAATAAATTAAAACATAATTAAATAAATCATCAAAATAAATAAGTCTAACAATCTCCCTTTTTTTTTTATGATGGCACACAATGATATTTTGATTTGACTTGGGAGTAAGAAAGGCTCTCCTCAAGTCATGTTCCATGAATTCATTTCTAAATACATAGGTTAGCACATGTGTAACAAATAAGCTTTAATCAACAACATAATAGCCCCGTTTGGTAGAGCTGTGGGAAAGTGCTTATAGCTTATGCCTAAACAGCTTATAGCTTATAACTTTCAGCTTAAGCTGATTTCCAGCTTATTCTTAAAGCATATCCTGCCCCACTCAAAGAATAAGCTGTTTTCTGACTTCCACAAAGCTATAAGCTATAAGCTAAAAGCTAAACCAAACACATCAAAATAGCTTAAATTAAGCTGAAAGCTGAAATAAGCTGAAATTAAGCTGTACCAAACAGGGCCAATATAAGATTAAGATATCAAACTATAAATACATAATATCAGATTAGTTTGAAAATAATACTATATTACATAACATCATAAGTTTTCTCCCCCTGTGACATTATCAAAAGGAAATCATGGGTCAAAATCTAGAGGACGAGAAGGAGGCGGAAAATGATAGTGATAAATGGCATCAAAAATAGAAAATCAAAACAGATATATACATATATATATGTATATATATGACTCGCCCACGTCTCTTTTTTGTTCGTCGAAAATCGCGTCGAACACACGTCCTCGCTTTTGCGTCAGCCGACCGACAAAAGCGAGACGGGTCAATCAGTCAATCAGCTGCCTCGGCTCTCTCTCCCTTGTAGACGCGCCCGCGTGAGGCCTTCGCGCTACAGTTCGGACTCGATTTGTGTCACGGTTCTTAATCTGAACCAAAGAGTCCAAATCCGGCAAATCGTTTTGAGAAAACAGATTTTTAGAAAAGAAGTACCAAACATGGACTGCTTTGCCAGATACAGAGTCGCCACCTAAATTTTTTTTTTTTAAGGGGGAATTTAGGAAACCCTGACTCGGTGCCAAAGGCCACATGTCCGTCATCACCAAAGTTGCCTCGGCGCGGGAGTTAGGGTACGATTGGAGAAGGTCAGCTATGAGCACCCCCTCTCGCCCGATCCGAAGATCGGCCTCTACTAACCGTGATATCCGTTTTTGAAAACGTTATGTGTTCTTATTCCGGTTATTAGCCTAGAATTACTATGTTATGCGCATAGCAAACAAGTATAAAAAGCGAGACGGGTCAATCAGTCAATCAGTCAATCAGCCGAAGCATTGCATATCCGTTTGTTTAAAAAACAGTTTGAAATTTGCTACTCGCAAGTAAGCTAAAGCACGGATTTTAACGAGTTGTTCCAACTCAAACAATTTAACCTTCACCCACAGGCATTCAAGCAGTTTATATCACATAAGCATCTAGCCTCATGGTAATCATGCTATTATGGCAACACTCACACGCATGCGGTATGCTAAAGCATAAATGCTTACCGAGTACTCCGAGCCAAAACAAAAACTAGTTAGTAATCATATGCATGATCCTAATTCATGTTAAGATGGCTAATGCAACACATGCAAAATGCGACTAAGATAGGCTCGGCT